CTCTTCCCTGGTGAGAGCCGAGCTGAAATCCGTTGCCTTGTTGGAGAGGAAGTTTGCAACAGTGGCATACATAGCACCCAGTTGGCCTCTGTGTTGTTGGAAGGGCAGACACCAAAAGAGGGGAGCATGTCAGGCTAGAGAGAGAGAGACCTGCTTCTTTTGTGATCCCTAAAGCTGAAGGAGACCCAAAGTGGGAAGAGTGAGGCAGAGCAGATCTATATCATTGCTAAGGGGTCTGAGGAAGCCCTCAAACATTGCCCTGGAGTTTAGCAGCACCTGGAGGAATGCCACTTCTATGAAGTCTACTCATTCATCTAATGTCATAATTTCTCAGTGTCTTGGGCTGATATTAACTCTAGCATGGACATTCAAGTGCTAAGAAATAAGTGGAGAAGTAAAAAATTGCAAATGCTGAACAAAACAAAAACCATTTGGAAAAAGTGGAAAATCATGATTTTAGTCACTACTGTGTCAAGAGTTGACTCTCAATTCCCAGGTGAGTTGTCTGTCCACAAGATCTGCTAACATTGTTCTTTTTTCATTGTAAAGGCAAACTTTTCCTTCCTATATTGAGTTCCATCAAAACTTGATATATCTCCTACTTATAAGTCATGTGGCTGGGGAGGCCCTGAAATCTGAAACTGTTAATTTGTAGTGCTTTCTGGGAGTCCCAGTTAGTAAGTGAGTTTATTTAGTTGTATGGAATGGGCCTTATCACAAGACAAGTAGTCAAGGGAAGATGATGAGAGAGGAAAAAGAAGAGATTGAAGCCAGTGGAATCCCTCCCCAAAGGCTAATACCAGTCAGCCCTGGTATTAAAGCGAGTGACCTTAAAAAAAAGAGTATCTTTCCATTTTGCAAGGCTTTTAAAAAAATATTGTGTGCTCGGATGGCACCTTTAATCACGAAGAACTTCTGGCTGAGTTCCAGACTGATTCTGCTGGCACAGAGAACTCTGAGATCATACCCTATATTCAGAGCACAGAAGAACTATTTCATCCATCTCTGAAATAAAGAAATGAAACATATTTGAACAGTTGCAGAGCAAAACCATACCAGGGTGAAAAGTGAAGGACATCTGACTCATTTGGAGTTACTATTAATTCTAAATACTTAAGTGGCATTTTTTTTCCTTCTCAGAGTGTTTCACAATACACTAAGCAGCTTGCATAAATCTATTTCACAGATATATAAATGAAAGCAGAAAGATTTTTTGATTTACCTAAGACTGCTTTAAATTAAAAAAAGAAAGGGAGGAGGCAAAGGAAAAAAAGCAACTCCCAAAGTAGCAGATTGTGACCCAGGAGTTTGAGCTCTTACAGCTGAATTTAATCCACACCCAGGCCAAATATAATTCTCCAGGATAGAAGTGGTCCAGGATACCAGAGTTAACATTTTCTATCTTTGCAAAGAACTTGAGGCGTTTTGGTGACAAGTAGTCAGAACCTCACTTCTATTTCTCAACTGAAAGAAGGTAAGGCCAGCATCATCTGACAGTGCTTCCCACAATGGCAGGGCACTGGTTCAAGCTCATCTGAAGGAAGTGTGCTTCCCTTTGATTCATCATTGCCTCTTGCATCACTGTTATTCTTTGGAGGTCTCCTATTCAAAGGTCTATTTAAATTGGAGAGTCGGGTCATACAATTTTAGTTGAATCCCAGCTTTACTACATGTGTCAGTCATGAGCACTTGATTATATTCTGTACTTATTCATCACTACATCCCACAAAGCCTCAGCTGAGGGAAAGGCCCGGGAGATTGCTCTGTGTATTAGAAATTGAAACCCCACCACAAAATGATGAAAAGTGGTCCAGACAAAAGCTGCTGTGAAAATATGAAAGCCATTATCTTTTCCACACTTCCTCTCTTTTCACTCTCATTTTGTTTGGGAATGCACAGGGACACCCGTGAACAAAAATAAACCAACTTACCCTGACTGATTGTTCTGCTTTTTGAGTTATCAAACTCGAGTACTTCTGGCTCCCAGATATGGTGAAGCAGAGACTGCTGGGAAGCCAGCCACAAATCAGAGTTGATCTTCCAGCATTTTCTACCTGGAGGAATGGTTCAGGAGATTATAATTAATGAGTCCTGCCCCAAAGTTGATCTGGCTGCTGAATCACATTTGGATTTCAGAAATGTAAGAAAGCATAGAAGAATCCCGGTGTGTTTTCTCAGCTCAACCCAGCCCATCCATACTTACCGGCTTGCTTGTTTGCTTTCTTTTCTTTTGTTCTTTCAGCACTGCAGATTAAATGGAATTTTTTTTTTTTAATACTTACCGGCTCTTTTTAACCAGTTACTCTATACCCAGTCCATAGACATTTTGATTGTCTACTCCCAGGAACTGTCTCAACTCAGTCAGAGCACCTTTAAGGAAGGCAGAACTAGGCCAGGGGAGGTGGCTCACACCTGTAATCCCAGCATTTTGGGAGGCTGAGGTGGGAGGATTGTTTTAGCCCAGGAATTCGAGATCAGCCTGGGCAACATAGTGAGACCCTATCTCTAAAAAAAATAAAAAAATTAGCTGGATGTGGTGGCACGTGCCTACAGTCCTAGCTACTAGGGAGGCTGAGGTGGGAGGATCACTTGAGCCCAGGAGTTTGAGGCTGCAGTGGGCTGTGATTGCACCCCTGCACCCCAGTCCAGGTGACAAGTGACACCCTATCTCTTAAAAAAAAAAAAGGGAAGGCAGAACCACCTTAGGAGGTAGAGGGTGAAATAAGGCAACTCTTCCACAAGCCAATCAATATAACAGACCCTCTCAGGGTGTGTGGTTTTGCTAGGGCTTAAATCAGGCTGTCAACTCAAACACAATGGGCTTTGTTACTCCTGTGTAAAGAGGAAATGGAGCAATTTTTGGCCTCCTCAGACTGTATGCAGGATGGCAATTCCAGGCACAATCTTCAGGAGACACAAATCTGCTTTTAGCTATTTAGTGTTCCACAGTAAGTTAATCAGCTGTTTCTGAAGTCCGTGGAAATATTCAGCATTTTCATACTGAAGCCCAATCTTATAGCTTTAAGTTTGGGGGGAGGGAATGGGTATATGAAAAAGGGGGTCCGTTAGGGAAACAGAGCCCTTTTGGAGAGAGATTCTAACACTTGTGATATATCTCAGAAATCACACAAGCACTGTAATTCCAAAACATTTTTTCTGGCTCAAGCACTCGAGCTGGAGGGCTTGCTGAGTCGCCCCACTATTTAGGTGTGCGGGGTTACCTTTGGGTGCAAAAGTCCTTGGGTGAGAAGCACAGAGTAACTGCAAAATGCCTCCCTAAAAAATGCCTAACTGCCCAAAGGGCGAAGCAGGGACTGGGCTCAAAGAGCAGCCAGGAAGGTTGCAGGGGGCCGGGGGCACATCCTCTCACTGACTGGTAACGGTCCTGCAAGTGGGTTTGGGGACCTCTGCTTTATGTGACAACTTATCACGAGAGATGGGGAGGATCTGTGCCCAGAGACCTCCTAAGGACCAGAAGAGCGCGCGCCCAAGTGACAGTACGCGCCCTGTATGTCCGCTCCCCTCCCCCACGGGCAGTCTCCGGGCAGAGGCATCTCACGCCAGCCCGTCCTCCCCATCTCCTCACTCGTGCGGGCGGACCGAGCCTCAGCGAGAGCCCCGCCTGTCTCCGGGCAGCTTGAGCCCCGAGCGCTCGTCCAGCCTGTCAGTAACTGCCGTTTGCGCTTTCTTTCTTTCTTTTTTTTCCTCCACCCCTTTTTTTTCCCCTTCTGCCTTTGTCCCGCTTAGTAACTGGGCTCTGACCAATCGCTGCCTCACCGGCCGGCGCCGGCTATCTCTTGATTGGCCCACTTGGGGCGCGCAGCCGTCTCCCGCTCCTTCTCCGGAGCAAGGCAGACAAAAGACGCCGGCTCCCGGCTCCGGCAACCGGGATCAGCCAATCAGCAACCACCTTACCTCTCTCCCTTCTCCCCTCTCCCTCCCCCCCTGGCTTGCGGGCTCCCGGCACTGACTCCTGGAGTGCGGCCAGCGCCCGGACCGTACCATTCTGATTAAGGCTGGGGGAGAGAGAGGATGGCTGATTAAGGAGCCAAGGCCTAGAGAGCCGTGGGGAGAGTTGAAAGCCGAAATGGAGGAAGGCTTCGTGTACAATTTCTGAGGCACCTGACAGAATCCCGCAGAACGAGGCGGGATAGATTGGCAGGGGCAGTGGTGATGCTAGCTGTACCCCTTCCCGGCGTGGTTGGATTTCGCCTCAGCAGTTGGGGAGGCGGTGTGGAATCGTGGGGGCGGGGAAGGGTGTCCCCTCCGCGCCGTTAAAATGAAACTCTAGTGGCTGGAGTCAGGGCAGAGCGTGAGCGGAGCCGGTACCGGCGGGGCTGCTTACACCCCGGAGGGAGCGCACAGCCGAGCCAAGCTGATTGGACTCTCCGACGGACCCCAATCCCAAGGCTGCGGCAGCTTCGGTTCCGAGCCCGACCGGAACGGAGCCCAAGTCCCGGCCCCTGCGGGGATCGCTTTTTGCAGACTAGTGGGGACCCCGAAACTTGAACTCAATTCCTAACCCCCTTTTTATGCCTTCCTTTGTCACTTCCCCGGCTTTAACCCAACGTGTTTTTTTCTCCTCCCTTCATTCCCCCCCGCTTCTTATTCTCCCTCTTCCGAAGGACACAAAAGTGGCTTCCGCGGAAAGACTTGGAGGCGGTGGGAGCTTTTCTCTTTGGAGAACGACTGTGTAGAAAGGATTTTGGGGAACTGCTTTTAACACCTTTGCCGTCCGTCCCCCAAGCCTCTCTGTACCCCTCGGAGAACAGCCCTTATCTTGAAAGTTCGGGGGGCATTTTGCTGGGTGCCGTAGGAGGAGAGAGGAGGAGGATCCTGTCTTCGTCCTGGTAGTTGACTGGAATTGTACCGGCCGTTGGAAACCCCGAAGTACCTTTCCGTGTGGAACTTTTACAGATCTATATTTTTAGATTTTAAATACCAGATTAAAAAAAATATATATGCTTTCTATATATTTCCTGACGGCCTGCCCCTGACAGCGCGATGTACAATACAGTGTGGAGTATGGACCGCGATGACGCAGACTGGAGGGAGGTGATGATGCCCTATTCGACAGAACTGATATTTTATATTGAAATGGATCCTCCAGGTACTTGGGAGAAAAAAAGAATCTTACGATGGGTCTTTTTGTGTTTACCAATACCTTGGTGATGTTTTCAGGGTAGAAGTGTTCCTGGGTTCGCTAGATTCTGGATGAGGGGCAGATTTGCAGTTACAGCTGCAGTAAAACTGCTTCTGGTTTACACGTTTAAAGTTTGCAGTTAGGACCCTGATCCTATTGTCCTGCAAAGGTGGGGGTGGGGGCTGGAGTGGGGTTGGGAGGAGAGACCCAATATTTTGGATTTTTTTTTTAATTTTTTTTTTTACTTTGCATGTCGTTCAGGTTTTTCTTGTGCCTCCACTTTTCTTTTTTTCCTTTTTCGATCAAACTGCTTCTGGTTTACACGTTTAAAGTTTGCAGTTAGGACCCTGATCCTATTGTCCTGCAAAGGTGGGGGTGGGGGCTGGAGTGGGGTTGGGAGGAGAGACCCAATATTTTGGATTTTTTTTTTTTTTTTTTTTACTTTGCATGTCGTTCAGGTTTTTCTTGTGCCTCCACTTTTCTTTTTTTCCTTTTTCGATCAAAGACTGTTCTACTTGCAAGGGATGTTTTATATCCCATTCTTGAATTCCCTTTGGGTGAATTCTTTAAAGCTTGTCGTTTCATACATTTGTCTAATTTGGTTCATAGTGTTTTACCTTGGTTAACTTCTGAAACTCAGATGCCTATGTGATTATTCATTTTGAGACTCTCTTCTGTTATAGAAACCAAATGCTGGTTAGTGATTTTTAGGGATTGGGCGTTCTTACTCAGTCATGGTTTTAGTCTGAGATTTTCCTCCATAGAATATAGTTGCTCAGAGAAATCTACATGCAGTATTTTATTGCTCTTTAATTTATGGGGTAGGGTTTAATAGAACTTCAATACTTAGAGTAAAAAAGGAACGTTCCTCTTTCCTGTGAGTATGTGATATGTACATATATGTGATAGGTTCCTGTACACATAATGTAAAGTATACATATACAGTACTGTATTTTTATTTTAGAGCTTTGTCTGAGGCCATTACAGACATTTTGTGTGTCTGGTAGGAAAGGAAAAGGAAGGGAAATGGAAAATTTGATGTTTTTCTTTTTCGTTAAAGTCTACTCTATTTTATGATTATTAGCTGTCAGATTTTCAACCCCCCTTTGCAATTACGGATGATAGTGCTTTATGTAATGATTTTGAATAAGTAGAGGGCCTTTGTGACTCCTTGTTTCTATTGTGGATGAATTCTTTATGTCTTTTAAAAATGTGTTGTAGCTTAAGCCTACAGAATAAATTGTGTGTCATTGGGGAATCTCACTTATTATAAGACTATGTATTTTTGGAAACGTTTGAAAGGATTTGAGCCCATGCAAGTGTAATGAAGTATAACTGTCTTACAGAAGATATGTAGAAATTTTTTCCTGTGTTCTTGCAAACAGTGAATTATCCTCTTTGTTTTTTTTAAATTAGTCATAGTGTTAAATGATCCTATACTAAAAACTAATATTGAAAAAACCTTTTTCACTCTTAATGATCACTTAGAATTTTTTTTTCCTTCATTTTAGAGCCTTCTTTATTTGCTTTTATAATTGTGACTGCAGTCCAGATGCAGCTTTTCAGTGTTTCGTAAAGTTTGTAAGATTTGCCACCCATCTATTGTGTGTTTCCCCCTTTGTTTCCCCCATAATGGTAAAGCATCACTTCTATTAGATACATTTGTCATTCATATGAATGGAAATCTAGTACATCACTGGTACCTCTCTTGCAAAAAGTAAGGTTAATAATTCTAGATTCCTGTTATTATAACAATTATATATTCAAACTGCCTTAGAATTATGCTATATTATATAGTATCTTGCCTTGCAGACATACAAAGGGAATTTGTTGGGTAGGAGGTGAATAAGGAGGAGGGGAGAAAATGAAAGCACTAATGGTTGAAAAATGTTGGCCTAGTAGAACAATATTGGCCAAGTTGAGTCAAGTTGTCCAAAAATGATTTTAAGAAAAGTTGACTATTGTGATTTTATGGAGATGTGGGTTTTATAATGTTGTATAGAGAATTCTGATCCAAACTTTTTTCTATGGAAATAAACTTTTGAGTTTAAAATGTTCATCCTTAAATTGTGCATACTGAGATTCTATTGAGAATATGGAAAATACACATATGCTGTTCTTTATTACCTATTTTGTAACATTAATGTAGACTATGATTAGTTATTCCTAACAGCTTTTTTAAAAGGAAACACACTTGAGTATGCTGAAACATTGCCTATGAAGTAAATGGTTTTTTGTAGAAATAATGTGAATGCCAACTTTGTTTTGTGTGATAAATTAAGTTTTTGAAGCATTTAAAACTGTATCATTAGTGAAATGGTTGCAGCATGCTTTGTATGTTTTTCCTAGCTCTCGCCCCAGATCAAGTTTTTAACTCTTATTTTCTGCTTGTGCTGGTGTGATAGCACACTAACTGTTGTCTCCTGTTTCTACAATCCACAGTAATTAGTTAAAGTATCATTTGATGATTTACATTCAAAAGATAAATCTAATGGCTTTAAAAACCTTCCAATGACTTCCCTTTACCTATTAAGAAAAACACGAGATTGCTTACCCTGTCATATAAGTCCCTCTAGTTTTTGCTTACAACCTAATTTTCCAGTTCATTCTCCTCCTGGCGTTCATCATAAATTCTGTGGAAGCTATTTTGTATTTGCTGTTCTTGAATGTATGCTTTTTTCTTCGTCCTGTATGCTTTTCACTCCCCATGTTCACATGTTAAAATTTTATATACATGTGTTTAGGACCCAGGTCAGATGCCTTCTTTGCCAGGATATATGTTCTCTGATCTCTTCTGTTAGAAGTTATTCCTCCTTCCTTTTCCCTCCCTCTTCTAGCATTTCTCAGATGGAATTTCTTTCATTCTGTCTAGAGTAACTACTGCACTTATTTATGTATACTTTCTCCTGTGGAATTGCCCTCCCACCTGGTTATGAGTGTCTTAGATTGCTCAGGATCTTGAGAATAGTAGACAATTTAATCAATATATGTTGATTTAATAAATAACTAAAGAGCACTGTTTTTATTCTAGCCTTTAGGTGCTTTTCCACTTAAGGTTCTTGGTCACCTCATTCCTTGGCTATTGCAATAGCCTAGAGTTAAATAACTTTTGAATTAGACATTTGTTTACTTAGGGCCCTTACTGTAATGGTGCCACTGTTTTTTATATGTATTTCATCTTAATTTTAGACAGAACCATAAATGTAAAATTGTTATGTATTATTGCTTTGAGTGGCCTCAAAAACTGTTTTTCAAAGGTGTTTCCCTCCAGCCTGTCGTTTTAGTAACTGTCATTACCGTGCATCCTGAAGGTTTCTAATAACTGCCTGGATTCCCATGTCTACTGTCATTGATAATATAAAAACTGAATCCAAATGGGGGTTTAATGTTTTAATGTTTATGTATTTCCTGGCAGAAGTAGAAATACTGAACTGTTTAGATGAAAGATAAGACTTTTTTTTTTTTTGAGACGGAGTCTCACTGTGTTGCCCTGGCTAGTGCCGTGGCATCAGCCTAGCTCACAGCAACCTCAAACTCCTGGGCTCAAGCGATCCTCCTGCCTCAGCCTCCCGAGTAGCTGGGACTACAGGTGCATGCCACCACACCCTGCTAAGTTTTTTCTATTGTAGAAATGTTAAGATTGTAGTGTAGAGAATTGCCTGTAAGCATCTTGGTTAGTCCTGCTGTGAATTTGGGAATTGAGATTATTCCATAGCAAAGCGATTGCTGGATAGGCCTCTCAAAGATTACCTCCTTTGGTATAGGAGCTGTTGGAGGATTACCCATATATAACTCATTATAAACCCATGTGCACAGCTTATAGCTAGTGATCTTATTAGCTCAGCACTTTAGTTTTGACATTGTTATTGGTTTTATTTTAGGAAAATTTAAAATTTTTAGAAATTAATGGACACAAGTCTTAAGAGTGTAGACTTTTTTAGTTTTCATCAAGACAAACTTTTGAAATTATCTTTAGGGCAGCAATGTCTCTTCAGTAGGTAATTAGAAAATTAAAAGTTTTAATTGTTTGGCTAAATGTGAATATAAAGAAGGTCTAGAAACGTGGTTCTCAATTTTTTTGGTCTCAATACTCCTTTTAGACTCTTAAAAATTTATTAAGAACCCGAAGAGCTTCTGTTTAAGTGGTTGTATCTATTGATATTTGCTGTGTTAGAATAAAACCGAGAAAATTTAAAAATATTTATTTAATTCATTTAAAAAATGAAGCATTGTGTGATAACATAACTTTTTAAATGAAAAAAACTATGTTTTCTAAAAAACAAGAAAAATTAGCAAGAAGAGTAACATTGTTTTATGTTTTTACAAATATGTTTGATAACCAGACTTCATAGAAGACATATAAATTCCCATGTCTGCTCCTGCATTCAGTTTGTTGAGATATCACAGATCATAGCCTCTGGAAAACTCCATTGTGCAATCGTAAAAGAATGAGAATGAAAAAGGCAAAGAATATCTTATTAATACTATGAAAATAGTTTAGACATCTTGGACCTTCTGAAAAGGTCTTGGGAACTCTGGACCACATTTTGAGAACTGCTAGTCTAGAAGTTAGACTACATAGTTTGGTGGCCAATCGGGTAAAATATCTTTTGATTTTGAGGCCAGATGAAAAGGTTTTTTTTAAGGAAACTTATTTACTTACCCGGGCATACTTGGTATTTTCAACCTGGTAAAATTTAGATAAAGTAACATTTTGGTGGAAAACTGGTACATTTGCCCTGTGGTTGGGGAAAATATTTGCTGAGACACACACTGAAGAAATAGGTCACCTGCTACTGCATGGTTCTTACCGTTAGCAGGTTGGGTATCCTGCTTCTGTGGTTGAATTTTTCTCTTTAACCCTGAACGTTTGATGGGTTCATGTTATGTATAAATGCTTCTCCTATATGTGATAAGGTATTTCTTTTATGATCTAGGTGTCACTTTTTAATTATATTGTAATATGG